GGCTCTTGTTTATTGCCTGGCTGTTAAGTTGGTTGTTTTATTCATAAGTTTATTGCCTGGCTGTTAAGTTGGTTGTTTTATTCATAAGTTTATTGCCTGGTTGTTAAGTTGGTTGTTGTATTCATAAGTTTATTGCCTGGCTGTTAAGTTGGTTGTTTTATTCATAAGTTTATTGCCTGGCCGTTAAGTTGGTTGTTGTATTCATATGTTTATCGCCTGGCTGTTAAGTTGGTTGTGTTATTCATAAGTTTATTGCCTGGCTTTTAAGTTGGTTGTTTTATTTATAAGTTTATCGCCTGGCTGTTAAGTTGGTTGTGTTATTCATAAGTTTATTGCCTGGCTGTTAAGTTGGTTGTGTTATTCATAAGTTTATTGCCTGGCTGTTAAGTTGGTTGTTGTATTCATAAGTTTATTGCCTGACTGTTAAGTTGGTTGTGTTCGTTTGGCTGTTAAATTTTTTGTTTTGTTTTTTTAGTTGTTTGTTTGCCCCTTTGGCTGGCTGTTTGTTTCTTTAATTTGTAATTATTGGGGTTCTTTTGTTGATTGTTTGGACTCTTTAGTGGCTTACTTGGATATCTGTTCGTGGTTTGGTTGGTTTGGCTGATAGCGTAGTTATTTGATTTCTTAATTGATTGAGTGATATTGATAATGATATTATTGAGTCGTTTCGTTCTTTCATATGTTTGTTGGCTGTTTAACTCGCTTATTTATTGAACAACCTGGCTAGTTAATTGGTTGTTCCATGGGCGGGTTGGTTGTTGAGTTGTTTGAATTTTGTTTGCTGGTCGGGTGATAAGTTATCTGATTGGCTGGTTAATGAGCTTGTAGCTTCATCAGCTGGTTGGTTGGTTGGTTGGTTTGGTGATTATTTGATTGGTTGGCCAAGGGTTTAGTCACACAATTCTACAATGTTCATCCCAAATTACACCCCTGATGTATGTATTAGTTTTCACAGGGGTTGGAGCCAGGTTTATGCAATACAGGTGAAATCCTGTTATCTCAACCACAAATTCCTCCCAGTTGGAGTGCCAAAAGGAGTTACCTTTTGCTATGTTATTACATCCGACTTTCCAGCCAACTGGGCATTCCCATGCATACTCATTCCTGCGATAAAGCAGCCACTTCAAGGCACGCCTCTTGATTGTTCCTGTAAGCAGTTGGCTATAGTGTCTTCTGTCTCGACCTTAAGGACTACATAGACGTGCTTCACCAAGCTTTACTCCTAGGTCACGCAGTTAGTGTTAGGGTCAGCTATTCAATATTTTCCCCTAGGATTGTCCATATAGTGTTAATGACGTCAGCTCTGTCCACGGTTCTTTCCGTTTGCGTTTCTTGCATAACTTGCTAGTTGGTCGTTTCTTTTATTAGCTTTAATTAGAAAATGAGAGTTAAAGTGCTATGTAGAACATTGTTAAAGTGCTATGTAAAACTTTATTAAAGTGCTATGTAGAACATTGTTAAAGTGCTATGTAGAACATTGTTAAAGTGCTATGTAAAACGTTATTAAAGTGCTATGTAGAACATTGTTAAAGTGCTATGTAGAACATTGTTTAAGTGCTATGTAGAACATTGTTAAAGTGCTATGTAGAACATTATTGAAGTGCTATGTAGACAAAAAATTGTTAAATTGCTATGTAGAACATTGTTAAAGTGCTATGTAGAACATTGTTAAATTGCTATGTAGAAGCTTGTTAAATTGCCATGAAGAATCTTATTAAAGTGCTATGTAGAACATTGTTAATGTGCTATGTAAAACTTTATTAAAGTGCTATGTAGAACATTGTTAAAGTGCTATATAGAACATTGTTTAAGTGCTATGTTAAATCGTGTTAAAGTGATATGTAAAACCTTGTTGAAGTGCTATGTAGAACCTTGTTAAAGTGCTATGTAGAACATTGTTAAAGTGCTATATAGAACATTGTTTAAGTGCTATGTTGAATCCTGTTGAAGTGCTATGTAAAACCTTGTTGAAGTGCTATGTAGAACCTTGTTAAAGTGCTATGTAGAACCTTGGTAATGTGCTATGCAGACCCTTTTTAATTGGCTATGTAGAACATTGTTTAAATGTTATGTAGAACATTATCAAAGTGCTATGTTGAATCTTGTTAAAGTGCTTTGTAGAACTTTTTTTAGATGCTGTATAGAACATTGTTAACGTGCTATGAAGAACATTGTTAAAGGACTTTGTTGAAGAGATATTTAGAACATTATTAAAGTGCTATGTAGAACATTTTTAAAGTGCTATGTAGAACTTTGTAGAAAGTGTTGTGTAGAACTTTATTACAGTGATAAGTAGAACCTTGGTAATGTGTTGTGTCATGTAGACCCTTGTTAATGTGCTATGTAGAACACTGTTAATGTGCTATGTAGAACCTAATTAAAGTGATATGTAGAACCTTGTTAAAGTGCCATGTAAAACCGTGTTAATGTGCTATGTAGAACCTTGTTAAAGTGCTATGTAAAACCGTGTTAATGTGCTATGCAGAACCTTGTTAATGTGCTATGTAGAACCTTGATAATGTGCTATATAGAATCGTTTTAATGTGTTATATATAACATTGTTATTGTGCTATGTAAAATCTTGTTAATGTGATATGTAGAACTTTTGGTAATGTGCTATGTAGAGCTTTGTTAATGTTCTATGTAGAACCTTGTTAATGTGCCATGTAGAACTTTTGGTAATGTGCTATGTAGAGCTTTGTTAATGTTCTATGTAGAACCTTGTTAATGTGCTATGTAGAACCTTGTTGATGTACTATGTAGAACCATGTTAAAGTGCTATGTAGAACCTTGTTAGTGTGCTATGTAGAACCTTGTTAATGAGCTACGTAGAAAGTTGTTAAAATGTTACACAGAAGTTTGATAATGTGCTATGTAAAACCATGTTAATGTGCTATGTAGAACCATGTTAAAGTACTATGTCGAACCATGTTAATGTGCTATGTGGAACCATGTTAATATGCTATGTAGAACCTAATCAAAGTGCTACGTAGAACCTTGTTAATGTGCTATGTAGAACCTAATTACAGTGCTATGTGGAACCATGGTGAAGTTCTTTATAGAACTATGTTAATGTGCTATGTAGAACCATGTTAATGTGCTATGTAGAACGTAATTAAAGTGCTATGTAGAACCTCTATGTGTATGCCTGTGAGACATTGAAAATTAGCAGACCAGATGAGAAACAGTTACTTCAGTTGGAACTTTTTTTTAGAAGAATACTAAAAATCCATCCATCCATTTATGTAGAACAGAAATCTTACCACGTTCAACCTACTGCGAACAGTATCGATTATAAGTGTGGTCTGGTTTCTTTGTGCCAATTATGTTGGCTAAGAAATGTCAATTGCACAAAACTAGTGTTGTTACTAAGGATATCACGGAACGATAGAACAACCTATGACGATGTTCTCCTCGAGAGACTAAAGAAAGTCGCGAACTGACTCCAACATAGACATTTAGTGTTTTCTGGTCGGTATATAAGAAAAAATAGACTCGAGAACTTGAGAACAACTGGCATGGATGGTGGAGAAAGAGCACGAGGAAGGCAAAACAGATAACTAACTGGCTTAGCCATATGTACGAGGCAAAACTGACCCGATCTGTGATTCTGGGGGATAGAATGGGAGCAGAGCATCCTGCGCTAACTGACACATTATGATGATGATGATTATGATGATGATGATAATGATGATGACTCTTTCTAACGCTGTTAAACTTACACAGAAAACATGGCCTTGGGGGGACGTGTACAATCGACCTAATAGGATTTATCTTTCTTTAAACTTATCTTTTTGATGTTGTCCCGACTCCTCGCATCCGCATTTTCTCTTGACATCTTATCGTTTTATCAAACAACTACGTGCTCTGGTTGTAGATTTTCTTAGATATTTCTGATAATTATCTACTTTTTATAAGTATGCGTCGATTCTGCGAACATCAAAACGTCTACGTGTAGCCCATTATAATAATTATTAATAATAAACTAATTTTCGAATTCAAAGATTGGCAATAGACCATATGAAAGGTCATTTCTTGCTGCCTTTAGTCAACAGTCAAAGAAGAACCTGACAAGATAGTTTATCGTAGATGGGTCATGTTTTTCTTAACTGCAACGCTATTGGTTGGATTTAGCTGTCAGTCATTAAAGAGGGCGGCTAACAGCGCAGCATGCCAGTCAATCCAGCATCGCTACAGCGCCCGGCAATGACAGATGTGGGCGGGGTTTCACCTGAGCCCCCTCAAGAAATGAAGGACTGGTAGAAAATCTATGCAAAAAGAGGTCTAGTTCTGGCGATGGACCACTTTCCTGTGGCTTCCTCAAGGATCGGCATTAACGATTTTTCAAACGAGGCAGCCCGCATCGTCTTGGTGTAATAATAATAATTATAATGAGCAAACTGCATTGCAGGATATACATTTTTTGTGCGATGGCCAACCTCAACTTCAGGTAGCAAAGGCTGAAACAAACGACGGTTAGTTTTTGTGTTTCTTTTACCCGTCTACCATCTATTGACTATAACAACTGGCTATTATTCGGATCGCTGTTGCATTTCGCCTAAGTGAAACTATCGTTTAAAAAACTCTGACGATTATCGCTGCTAGATTAAGACGTTGCAACGCTGACTTTTATTCCATTTGAAGGGTGGACACTAAAAGAGGATTTTCAGTGAAACATTCGGAGCGTCGGGTGATCTTGTTTTGCATAACTGAAACACTTTCTCGATGTGTCCTCGGTCGGAGCGGACATGTTTATAGCTCGTGTAACTCATAGACAGACAGAAGGAGTTGCTGTGTTAAACACTCGCTAAAGAGAACAAGGGGAAGAAAAGAAAAAAAATAGCTTTAGCGGTTTTACTACAGACACTTTCCCGTGAGTAAACTTGGCGACGTTAATCGCTTCACGGAGTAATTGTTTGTGAACATTCACACAAGTTATTACTCCACCTGCCGCCTGCCTGTGTTGTTTGAGGCGGCGCAGGAACTGTAAACCGGTAGTTATGAGTTCATATTTTGTCAATTCACTTTCAGCCTGCTACGGCTCGGGACCTGCCGGACTTGACCCGTGCACGGAAAACATATCTGGCTATGACAGAAATCCCGCGCATCATCATCATCAACAACAGCAACACCATCACGGTTCAAACGTGTATTCTCCAGCTGTGTACGGAAACTCGCGCTACTCCAACTACCACCACGCACGGCTGAACTCGGAGGCTAGATACGCCGACTCTATTCACAGTGAGTACTACTCAGTCCCAAGATTATCGCACCTTCCTCCGAGCTCCCCAAGTCCTCCTCCTCTTCAAACAAACATTAGTTGTGCGTCGTCCTGTTCACCGCCATCGTCTTCTCCTCAGCTGTGTGATAGAAAGCATGTCTCGTCAGTTTGTGGAACAGCTGAATACCGCAGCAATACCTCATCGACGCCATCAAATCTGTCCACACCCTCGGCTCTACAGAATGTATCAAACACAGGGACAAACAATCAGAACAGCTCTGGAACTAACAACGGAGAACCCGGATACTACACAACTCCTGGAATCAACAACTTCTTGGACGACAACAAAACTTCCTGCGACTCTCCACCTCTAAGCCAAAGACAAAAGCTGCCTCAGCCAGCACACCAACAGCCAGCAGCGGCACCATCTTCTCCGCAATCTCCATCAACAAAACAACAGCTACAACAACAACGACAGAACGAAAAGGGCGGCTCCCCTAACTCTCAGTCGGATCAAGGAGAAGGAAGTTTTCCAGCACCTCAGATTTACCCCTGGATGCGCAGAATGCAGTACAGTGCAGGTAAGTTCCGCTTAGTCTTAGTCGTGATTTCAACTTCACTGAAATCGGGTTTTCCCCATACTTCCCTCTTCCTGTGCTAGTGAATATAATTTGAAATGTCCCTGACTGTCCCATTTAAAAAACTGGTGAACAACAATTAGTCCCGGGGAAATCCAGAAATCTGCGCACACAGTAAATGCATATGGCAGTTGCTAGAGGCGCCAAAGCCAACAGTCGTCACTAGAAATGCAGTTTATCGTTGATAGGAGTAGTCGGGCACGATAAGTTGGCTACACACGCACAATTATTACGTAAGGTATTTCACCAGCCTACACGTAAACAGGCTACCGGTCATGTAAGTCCCACTTCTACAAAAGTAGCTCACGTTGATACACAAAATCACACGATTTTACTGATTTAAGTTAGTTGCCTATCCTTTACAGGACGTTGTAGAACCAACCCCAGCATTTTTTAGGCTGTTTGGGTTTCCTAGGCACGTTTACGTTCAGTAGTTTGCCATTGCTTTCTTACTAATTCACTGATTTAAAACTGGACACCATACCTCATCGGATACACCCATAAGTGCTCCATCTCCCTCAGCAAATGTCTAGATTTAGATGCTAACTGTTACTGTAGCACAATAATTATAAAGATGTCTTTCTCTTTCTCCCATAAATACCTCCTTGCCTGATCCACATCTAATTCCTCGTTCACACATCCTTACACATGAACATCTCCAGAACGTGGATTTGATGTCACAAGTAGTGGAATACCTCGACATACAAATGGATGTGAACTTATGAAAAGGACACTAAAGGGCGTTAAACATATGGTGCTAAAGTCAGGGGCCACCGAGAGAATTGTTAAGTGCTGGAATAAGATTAATATGGGCCCTCTTATCTACAAACAACGGCGTCTCTGGCTTAGGCGTTGCGAACGAGCTCCCTTGGTAATGGCGGGGTGCCGGGTTCGATCCCAGCTATAGCCCTTGCGCCTTGTGTTAGTTTCGACAGTGGTGTCGAAACGCCGACCGTCCAGCTGGCAATGGCAAACTACTGGACGTAAATTTGCCCAGATAAACCACAACAGCCAAAAAAATTATGTGGTTGGCTCCACAATGTGCTGTAAAGGATACACAACTAACTTTTAACTATCTGCAAACAGACACACAAATAAATCAGTAATGTCAATTATTGTACAATAATTATTTGCATTCAGACGTGTTTGTAAATATATTAACAAGAAGACAAGTATTTCTGTAAAAGTTAGTGAAAACAAAAATACACTTTAATATATAAACAACCATGTGTGGATTAAGGGGCCCTGTTATAGGGAAAACAAGAATAGACCCACTGCCTACCCAAAAGCATGTCGTAAGAGTCGACTAATTGGAAGCTTCCTTCGAAGTCGGAGTGCATCTGCCTGAGAGGCAAGGAACCAGCCGTCTGCATATAAATGGGTCAGATCTGTAAAACGGATGCACACGCAACACTCAGGTTCTGAACAGAACTACAGTCCAGAAGTGGATGAACAACCAGAACTTTCCGCCAGAGTTTACAGCTGATGAACGCGAAGAAGAAAGAAGAAGAATATATAAATATTATTAAAATAATAGATACAAGCCAATAATTTAATACCTCTCCCCTTCAAAGGCCCCTGTTTGTTTTTCGTTGGCACAGGAGCGAAGCATCTGTGGGGTGACCCGTTTGCTATGAAGCTGAAACTAGGATTACCAGATTACCAGATTACCAGATTAAATATATAGGGCTAGACTTATATTTTATAGACAAATCGGCACTTGCTGGGTGATGTGGTCAGCATTACGCCGACCGCCTTTGCTTTCCAGGACCGTTTCTGGTACCCCTTCGAGGCTGGATCGACCTGAGAGCCGTTATTTTTTTTAAAACTCCGGCATTGTCAGGACACGAACCCACGACCTTCCGATCCGCAAGCGAGTGTCTACGAGAAACCAACATACCTCTTTCTAATCGTTCTTTATCAGTCTTTATCCCCGAAAGGAGCATATGCGCTCAACCAGCTCGTGTCATGGCCTTTTCTCCTGTGCTATCACAATAAATCAAACAAGGAATCATTCGATCATTCAGTTAATCAGTCGATCAATCAATAAGTCAGTTGTCATCTTCGAAATGAAAGTTGGCTTCAGTGGATTTCCAACACTCTTGTCTTGTAAGTACACGCCCCAAACTGTTGTCCTTCCATTTGTATCATTGTCTACCTCTTGCTGTCTTTCTTGCCTTCGACTGTTCCCTCCAGTACGGTCTTTGAAAGAGTGTTATGTCTTTAAATGTGGCTGGCATATTTAATTTTTCTCCTTTTCTAATTTTTTTCAGTAACGTTTTTCATTCAGTCTAGGTAGAACATCTGACTGTTTTTTGTTTCTTATTTAATACGATAAATTCTTCTGTATGTCCACTTTCTAGAGACTCAGTTCCATTTTCTAGTTTCTTGTTGACTGTCCAAGTTTTTCCCACCATACATCTGGTTTAGGTTTTAGTAACATTTAAAGATTCTAATTTTTAAAGTGCTGTTGATCTCTTTAGCTGTGTATAATTTTCCCCTTACAAAAGCTAGTTTTAGCCATTCCTCTTCTTCTTTTGGATTTCTGTTTTACTTCTGCCATCCTCTGTTTTACTTCTGCCATCCTCTATTTTACTTCTGCCATCCTCTGTTTTACTTCTCCCATCCTCTGTTTTACTTCTGCCATCCTCTGTTTTACTTCTGCCATCCTCTGTTTTACTTCTCCCATCCTGTTTTACTTCTACCATCCTCTGTTTTACTTCTCCCATCCTCTGTTTTACTTCTCTCATCCTCTGTTTTACTTCTCCCATCCTCTGTTTTACTTCTCCCATCCTCTGTTCTACTTCTCCCATCCTCTGTTTTTACGTGTTCAAGATAGAAGACAGCTATTTCTTGTTATCATATCTCTGCGTTTACTGCGATGTTCACTGTAGTTCGTTCTTTTCTGTTGCTCTTCTTCTTCGCGTTTACCGGCTGTAAACTCCGGCAGAAAGTTCTGGTTGTTCATCCACCTCTGGACTTTAGATTTGTTCCAGAACCCGAGTGTTGCGTGCAAATCCGTTTTACAGATCTGGCTTACTTGTATGCAGACTGTTGGTTCCTTGCCTCTCCGGCAGATGCACTCCGACTTTGGAGGAAACCCCCAGTTAGTCGACGCTTACGTCAAGCCTTTTGGAATACGCCTTAAAACTACCAATGACCCAGCTGAAAAAGAACTGCCAATTGATTGCTTGAACCCTAATGTATTTTTGTTGTTCAATATTAACAGTTTACTCGTTAAATAACACAGAATGTGAATGTCAAAAATAGGGCTATACCTATATTTTATAGACCAAACGGCATGTGGTAAAAACCACATTGGTAGCTTTAACTTCCCAGGTCTTTAGCTGGAAGCCAAGACATTTTTTGTAAGTTAGGATCCTTTAGGCTCTGAACATATGACCTTTGGATTCGTAGGCACACATTACAGTGGTTTGTTCGAGTACCGTAATTAATTTCTTTAATTAATAGACGTATGTGCAGCCTATTATAGCGACAGCCGCCATGTCCGAGCTGAATACAACGTGAAAGAGGAAAATCAGCGTTGTGGTAAAGGTCAATATTTACAAATCACTGGTGTTGTCTATTTTCTTAAATGGATTTGAGAGTTGGACTCTCACTGTGGAAATGGAAAGGAGGATTCAGGCCTTTGAATGTAAATCTATAGGCGTGTTTTAGGAATTAGTTATTTTGAACACAAAACTAACAAATCTGTCAGAGACAAATATGCAAATTTGGAGGACATCAAGAGTCTCTCTTAGTAGCGTTGAAACGTCGCAAGCTAGCTCGGTTCGGGCACGTGGCGAGACATAATTCAATGAACATTTAAAGAAAAAAAAAGAAGGCGGTATTCGTAGAAAAGGAAGCAAAGAAGAACTTGGAATGACAACATCAAAAATGGACAGCAATTAGTTATTATTCACCTGTTCAGCAAGCGAAAGACAGAGAAGGATGGCGGGTTTTTTGTGCTAGTGCTTCCATCGATACACCCCTGAACGGGTCAGGGGTTATGTTATGGTACGTTATGTTGTGTTACGTTATGTTATATTAAGTGCAGATTAAGAGATAAGAGATAAGGGTAGGCCTATAAAGAAGACCGTTTTGAACTTCTGCAGCTATGGTCGAACTCCTGTACTGTTTTAGACGCACGTTAGTAAGAAGCTGTGGCAGCAATGTAGAAACACAACAACAATGAGAGGGAGTAAAGGAGGAGGAAAAGAAGGAGAAAGAGAATGATGATTACACTCAAGATGATGATAATGATGATAATGATGAAGATGATGATTGTGACAATAATAATGATCTTCTTCTTCTTGTTCGCATTTACCGACTGTTAACTCTGGTAGAAGGTTCTGTCTGTTTTTTTTTTTCCTTTTCTAGACTTTAATCTTGTTCTACATACAACTTGGGTTTTGCTCGCACATCCGTTTTACTAATCTGGCTTATTTGTATGCAGACCATTGGTTCATTGCCTCTCAGGCAGACGCACGTGGACTTTGAAAGAAATCCTTAATTAGTCGACTTTACGACATGCTTCTCAGGGAGGCAGTGGTTCTATTGTTGTTTTATCCCTAATGGGAAAGAGGATATTACAGTGGTAATAATAATAATATTAATACTAATAATAATATTAATAGTAATAGTAATAAACACAGCCCAAACAGCGTGTTCTGTTCATGCAATGTATATTAAATTATGTCTATCTTTATATAAATGTATGTGTGTTTTCGTGTGTCTATATGTCTATGTATATGTATGTATATACGTATGTATAGGTCTCTCTAAATGTATATATGAGTGTGTATTTTTTCGTATTTGTGTTTACATATATATGTATGTATGTTTGTGTGTTTATGTGTCTATATGTATTTAAATATACTTGTATATAAGCATGTATAAGTCTCTCTATTTGTATATATAGGTTTGTATTTTTCTATGTGTAT